GGAAAGAGCGGGAGGGGTTGCCCAGGGCGGTGGTGGAGGCCCCATCCCTGGGAACATTCCAGGCCAGGTTGGCCGGGGCTGTGGGCAACCTGCTCTGGTTCAAGGTGTCCCTGCTCCTGCCGGGGGGTGGGGCTGGGTGACCCTAAAGGTCCCTTCCACCCCAAAACATTCCATGATTCCATGATCTTGATGTTGTGTGTCTGCCTCTCAGCTGAAAGCGGTGCACGAGCAGCTCGCCGCCCTGTCCCAGCCGCAGCAGAACAAACCAAAGAAAAAAGAGAAAGACAAAAAGGAGAAGAAGAAGGAGAAGCACAAAAAGAAGGAGGAGTTGGAAGACACCAAGAAAAGCAAAGCCAAGGAACCGCCGTCCAAGAAGGCCAAGAAAAGCAACAGCAACAGCAGTACCTCCAGGTCAGCCCCCTCCCTCTTCCGTCACGTAATCCTTGCGTTCTACCCCTCCTTTTGCTAATTAACTTAATGAGATGCAGGATTCTTGACGAGCTAGGGCCCGACTCGCAGCAAACCCCCTTCGCCTCTGGAGACCTTGGCTCGAGATCAAGTCCCAACCATGAGTTCAACTTTGTTTTGCGGGGTTGATGGGTTTTTTTCCGTGGGGCTGCTCTGAACGTGGCCAGGTACGGGAGAGAGGGGGGGGAAAAAATCATGGGATCTCAAATTCTTAAATCCTCTAAAATTTTTCCTCCTTCTCCCTCATTTTAGAAGCTGTAAGATTTCAATTAAGCGGCCAAGAGCCGAGCCTCTTGTCGGCCGCCGGCTGGAAGGGGAGGCAGGATCTTGGTATTTAACCCGAGGTGAAAAGGAGTTGTTCGGCATTTTTAGACTCATCAAATAGAATCCTGGAATGGTTCCTCGACCCCTTCCCTGGGCAGCCCCTTCCAGCGCCTGACAGAAGGAAATAACGAGCAAGATCTTGGAGCCTCTCTTCATCCCCGGCCTCTCCGCAGCTTTCAGGATTTGGATAAACCCCGGCGGGCGCAGCAGGGGATTATTTTAGGGGAATGGGCCGTCCGTGACACCATTCACCTCATCCTTTACTAATTCTGGGGTGGTTTTGCCCCCTCCCAAATTTCATTTATTAACTGCATGCGCATGGAATCTCTGCTCCAAGCGGTGGGATCAAGACCTCTGGCCGTTCCGGAGTCCCTGAGGCGTAGAAAACCCCGACGGTGACGTCAGCCCCGGAGCTGGGTGGGGGGTTTCCTCCTTACAAACCTATATTTTACGGATAATGGGGTTTTTCTTCTCTGTATGGGGGCGTCAGGTTCTGAAACCGCCCAACCTCTCGCCTGTCCTGGCAGGAAATGGGCAGCGTTGGTTGAGCTTTGGTCCATCCCAAGTGCAGGTGTAAGGAATTCTGCTCCGGAGCTGCTCCTGCTTTTCCTGAATTATCTCCTGGAGCCGCTCGTCACTGTGGGAGAGCGAGTGTTGGGCCGGGTAGCTCAGCCTTGGGTGGCTGACAGCAGGTTGAGCTCAGCCTTGGGTGTTTTGACAGCAGGTTGAGTTCAGCCTTGGGTGTCTGACAGCAGGTTGAGCTCAGCTTTGGGAGTCTGACAGCAGGTTGAGCTCAGCCTTGGGTGTTTTGACAGCAGGTTGAGCTCAGCCTTGGGTGCCGGACAGCGGGTTGACCTCAGCTTTGGGTGTCTAGCAGTGAGTTGAGCTCAGCTTTGAGTGTCTAACAGCAGCTTGAGCTCAGCTTTGGGTGTCTAGCCGTAGGTTGAGCTCAGCTTTGAGCGTCTAGCCGTAGGTTGAGCTCAGCTTTGAGCGTCTCGCTGTAGGTTGAGCTCAGCTTTGAGCATCTAGCTGTCTTGACAGCAGTTTGAGCTCAGCTTTGAGTGTCTAACAGCAGGTTGAGCTCAGCCTTGGGTGTCTGACAGCGGGTTGAACTCAGCTTTGGGTGTTTAGCAATGGGTTGAGCTCGGCTTTCAGTGTCTAACAGCAGGTTGAGCCCAGCCTTCTTGTCTAACAGTGGGTTCAGCTCAGCTTTGAGTGTCTAACAGCAGCTTGAGCTCAGCTTTGGGTGTCTGACAGCGAGTTGAACTCAGCTTTGGGTGTTTAGCAATGGGTTGAGCTCGGCTTTCAGTGTCTAACAGCAGGTTGAGCCCAGCCTTCTTGTCTAACAGTGGGTTCAGCTCAGCTTTGAGTGTCTAACAGCAGCTTGAGCTCAGCTTTGAGCGTCTAGCCATAGGTTGAGCTCAGCTTTGATTGTCTAGCTGTAGGTTGAGCTCAGCTTTGAGTGTCTAGCTGTAGGTTGAGCTCAGCTTTGAGCGTCTAGCTGTAGGTTGAGCTCAGCTTTGAGTGTCTAGCCGTAGGTTGAGCTCAGCTTTGAGTGTCTAGCCATAGGTTGAGCTCAGCTTTGAGTGTCTAACAGCAGCTTGAGCTCAGCTTTGGGTGTTTAGCAGTGGGTTGACCTCAGCTTTGAGTGTCTAGCTGTGGGTTGAGCTCAGCTTTCCGCCTCCCAGCCTCATGGTTGAGCTTCAAGCTGGCACCATGCTCGTTTCCAGGCTGGAAAGTAAAAAACCGACTAAACCCAGAGCGTTGGAGTGGATGGATTTAAGAGTTTAGACCAAGCTTTTTCCTCATTGCGGTGTTCCCTAATAACGTTTTATAATTGTTCTTAAGTAGTAAGAAGGAGCCTGTGACGGTGAAGAACAGCAAGCCCCCTCCAGCCTACGAATCGGAGGAGGAGGAGAAGTGTAAACCCATGTCCTACGAGGAGAAGAGGCAGCTGAGCCTGGACATTAATAAACTCCCCGGTGAGAAACTGGGCCGAGTTGTCCACATCATCCAATCACGAGAACCCTCCCTCAAAAACTCCAATCCCGACGAGATCGAGATTGACTTTGAGACGTTAAAACCATCCACCTTACGGGAGCTGGAGAGATACGTAACGTCGTGTTTACGGAAGAAGAGGAAACCTCAAGGTACCTTTTAGCCTCAAAAACCCAATTTTTGGGGGGGCTTTTTCTCCTTATTCCGGCCGTGGTCGCCCCAGCCGGAGGCGGGGATGCGTAGAAATAATAAGATTTTTATCCCGTGAAAAAGCAGATTTTATTTAAGAGCCGCTCTTTCCCCAAGGCGGGGCTAAAATCCCGCCGCGGGGCTGGATTCCAGCGGTGCTGCGAGGCCGCTAATTCCTAAAATCCTCTCTAAATACAGATATTTTAATTATTTAATTTTATTTAATGTATTTAATTTAATTTAAAATCCTTTAATTTATTTAATTAATGAATTCCTTTCCATCCTGGCTTAAGCGGGGTTTTATTAAACCCCTTAACGATCTTTGGGATCTGGGGCAGAGCTTTTAATTTGGGGGCGGGGGGGGGGAAGAGATTCCTCCTCCCCTTGGTATCCGGGGGACGCCATTCCCAACGGATGGCGGACACGGTGCGGGGTGGCTCCAAAATTGGGTGGGATCAGGGCTGAGGGATTCCCTGTGCCTCCCACCTCCGCTTCCGGAGGTAGAAGAGGGGGTTCCCCCTTTTTCTAATACACCGGGCGCTTAATTTTTAACGGCTATTTGAATATATTTTGATATCTTTTGATAGGCTTGGCACTATTTCGACCTATTTCAATGTTTTAACTGATTTGCATCTGTTTAAAATGTATTTTTAAGTACACTTTAAATACACTTTTAAATAGACTTTAAATTCCTTTAAATCTACTTTAAATCTATTTTAAATTTTCTTCAATCTACTTTAAATCTATTTTAAATCTCCTTTAACCTACTTTAAATCCACCTTAAATCTACTTTAAATCCACTTTAAATCTACCTTAAATCTACCTTAAATCTACCTTAAATCTACCTTAAATCTACCTTAAATCTACCTTAAATCTACCTTAAATCTACCTTAAATCTACTTCAAATCTATTTTAAATCTACCTTAAGTCCACTCTAAATCTACCTGCAATCCACTTTAAATCCAGTCCACTTTAAATCCACTTTAAATCCAGCTTGAATGTACTTTAAATCTACCTTGAATGTACTTTAAATCCACTTTAAATCTACTTTAAACCCACTTTAAATCGACTTTAAATCCACCTTAAATCTGCTCTAAATCCACCTTAAATCTACTTTAAATCCACTTTAAATCCACCTTGAATCCACCTTGAATCCACCTTGAATCTACTTTAAATCCACCTTAAATCCACCTTGAATCCACCTTGAATCCACCTTGAATCTACTTTAAATCCACCTTAAATCCACTTTAAATCCACCTTAAATCCACCTTAAATCCACCTTAAATCCAGTTCAAACCTTTGATGCCCGTTGTCCTTCTAAATCCCTTTCCCCATCCCCGTTCCTCCAGAAACGCCCACATTTTGTAACGACCAAACCCGGACAAACGCGGGGGGGATTCCCCCCAAACCGCCCGCGGCGATGCCAGGGCCAGAAATCCGGGAATTCAACGGGAATCTCCATTTCCCATGGCCGGGGGGGCAACAATTCCGGGTGGGAAAACAACCCCGGCCAAATCCCCGAAGGTTTCAGCCCTGTTTCACGTGGGCTTAACCACCAGCTCCGGGCTGGGCACAAGCAGGGGGCAGGAGATCCCCTCCCTGGTCTTAGGCCGGCCTAAAGCGGCTGGGTAAAGCCAGACCTATCTACCCCAGAGGGGTTTAGGAGGACGAAGAACAACCTCGCTCAGGTTTAAATCCCGCAGCGCCATCACACTCCACCCCGTTAAACGACTTCACCACCCCAAAGATCTCCCAGACCCCCGCTGCGTCCCAGCGAGTTCAGCTCAGCACTAGAAATAAGCAGGGACACAGGATTAAAGCTTGGCTTAGCTCATCCGCAGGGATATCTGGAACGCCGCGGGTCTTGCACAGCCGCCCGGGCTGGCTGCTGGGGGCAGCAGGGGAGGAGCCGGCAGGTTTAGGAGGAGCGGGGAGTTTTAGGAGGAGCTGGCAGGTTTAGGAGGAGGAGGAGGAGGTTTAGGACATGCAGGCAGGTTTAGGAGGAGCAGGCAGGTTTAGGAGGAGCGGGGAGGCTTAGGAGGAACGGGGAGGCTTAGGAGGAACGGGGACGTTTAGGAGGGCATGTTTAGGAGGAGCAGCAGGTTTAGGAGGAGTCGGCAGGTTTAGGAGGAGTCGGCAGGTTTAGGAGGAGTCGGCAGGTTTAGGAGGAGTCGGCAGGTTTAGGAGGGGAGGTTTAAGAGGAGCTGGCAGGTTTAGGAGGAGCCACAGGTTTAGGAGGAGACTGCAGCAGCAGGCAGGCTTAGGAGGGAGCTGCAGGTTTAGGAGGGGATGTTTAGGAGGAGCCGCAGGGTTAGGGGGGGGGGGATGGGGGG